CAATAAAATAAAATTTTAAAAAAATCATTTTCCCACTCAAGTTGCCACTCCATTCAGCAGCCTTACTTCTGAAGAGTAAATTGTACACTGAAGTTGGCAGGAATAGAGAAGAAGGAGAAAAAAAAGAGGTAGCATTTTGACTTTTCACTTTATATTTTTCATTAGTATTTGTTTAATCATAAACTTAAAATCTTTTATAATAAAACAAACTTTGCTAATATTAAGCATGACCATAACTTGCTTCTTTGTTATCTTCCATGCATTTCTCAAAAACAAATACTCTAATAAAACTAGTACTGCATAGGTCATGATAACAGCTGTTGAAATCAATGACATCTTTGCAGCCAGTCTCTATTTCAGCTGACCTCTCTATACTATCTGACAAAGTTGCCTACTATTTCTAAAAACTCTGTCTAGGTTTCTAAAACATCATTCTCAGCTACTGCACTTTCCACAATAGCCAACACTGCTTCTGCAATGCAGCATATACTTTTCACTTTTACTTTCTCAAATAAACTTGGCCATTGTTAAAAAAAAAAAGTCACTCTCCTCGGTATTAACTCTTCTTTTTAGTTTTTTATTTTGGAAAATTTCACACATATTACTAAATCCTGGTTTCTCTGTATATTAACCTACTTATTCCCTGCCACTATATGATTTTGAACAAATCCCTACATATTAACGTATAAAAAATAAACTAACAATTCTTTTAAAAATATCCAGACATATTCATACGCAAAAGAATGAAGCTGAATCTTTATCTTATACCATAAACAAAAATTAACTCAAATGGATTAGAGACCTAGATGTAAAAACTAAAACTACGAGAGTTAGAAGAAAGCATAGTGGAAAAGCTTCATCATAATACTGGATTTGACAGTGATTTCCTGGATATAATACCAAAGGCACAGTCAAGAAAATAAAAAGTAGATGAATTGGATAAAATCAAAATTAAAGCTGTCTGTGCATTAAAGCACACCATCAACAGTATGAAGACAACCCACTGGACTGAAGAATATAAGTACTGATAACGAGGATGTTCTTTACAACACTTATACCTCAATAACAAAAGAGCCTGATTTTTCTTTTTTTGACTTTTATTAGAATATGTTTGGAGCTCATAATGATTACATTCACTGTAGGGTAGATGTATATAACACATTCAATTTCCTTCTTTTTCTACCCTTTCTCCACCCTCTTTTAATTTTTCCAGTATCAGATTCATTTAAAGACCTTATAAAGTTAATTATCACATATACAGATTGAAATCCAGAATAATAAGAGCCTGATTTTTAAAATGAACAAAGGACATTTCTCCTAAGAAGATACATAAGTGACCAATAAGCAAATAATCATTAGAAAAATCCAAATCACAATCACAAGTTAAAGCTGGGCATGGTGGTGCACACCTTACAGAGGCTGAGGCTTGAGGATTGCTGTGAGTTCCAGGCCAACCTGAGCATAGGTTTGAGGCCAGCCTGGACTACTTAGTAAGACTCTGTCTCAATAAACCAAAAAAACAAAAGACAAAAAAACCCTCAACCAAGACAAGTTAACACATCACGCCTATTGGAATAGCTATTATTATTTTTTTTAAATCAGAAAACAAGAAATGTCAGCAAAGATATGAATAATCTAGAACCCTGTGCCCTGGTTGTGGGACTGTAAAATGGTACCATGATTGTACAAAATAGTACAGTGGTTCATAAAAAACGAAACAGGATTTCTAGGTATACAACGAAAGAACTGAAAGCAAGAACTTGAACAAGTATATATATGTATAGTAGTCCTACTCATGCATGGGGCATGTGTTCCAAGATCCATAAGGGACAACTGAAACCAGAGATAGTACCAAACCCTAGATATACTTTACTTTTTCCTTCACATTAAAGGATAAATTTAATGCTTTTCCCATCTTAAGCACATACTGTAACTTTTGTTGTTTGAGATAAACAGCAAAATGAGCATGAATTTTTTTTTCCTTCTTCACAATTTCATGGATATAAGATTTATTCCTATCATAAATCTTAGCAGGTCCAGAATATGATTTTTTTCTTTCCATATTATGTTAAGAAGGAGCTTATGGCTTTTCTTTGGAGCCTTTAAAATTATTTATTTACTTATGCTACTGTGGATAGAATTCAGGGCCTTCCCACTGAGCTACATCCAAAGTTCCTACTCCTTTTTAAAAGTCTTTTTGAGACAGGATCACACTAAATTCCTAAATAGCTCAGGCTATGCTCAAACTTGGGGTTCTTCTACCTTAGTCTCTCCGCGTGCTGATATTACAGGTGTGGGCCAAAATATCAGCATGAAATTGAAAATAAAGTAAAACAGGAGTTACTTGAACACAAGCACTGAGATACTATAATAACTGACTAATAACTGAGACAGCTGCTAAGTGACTATGAATAGTGTATAATGGGAATATGCTAGACAAAAGAGATGATAATACTTAGAAGAGCATACAATATAAAACTTACGAATTGTTTACTTCAAAAATTTTTCATTTAGTTTTTCTTTTTTTTGGTACCGGGGATCAAACTTAGGACCCTGCACTTGCGAGGCAGGCAGTGAAACCATGGAGCTAAATCCCTGGCCCTCATTTAGTATTTTCATACTGTGATGAATCATGGGTAACTGCAGTCATGGAAGTAAAACTGAAGACAAGAGAGGACTACTGTACACTCATGCTCATAACAGCATTATTCATACAGCCAAGAGGTGGAAGCAACCCAGTTTGTCCACTGATGGATAAAGGTCAAAACAAAATGTGGAGTGTATATACACAAAGTCTTTAAAAAACAGGAAATTCTTGGGCCGGGGATTTAGCTCAGTGGTTCCAGTGCCTGCCTGGCAAGCGCAAGGTCCTGAGTTCGATCCCTAGTACCAAAAAAAAAAAAGCAGGAAATTCTGACAGATGCTACAACACTGACAATACCTGAGAACATATGCTACATGAAATAAGCCAGTCACAAAAGGACAAATATTGTATAATTCCATTTATATGAGCTGCCAAAAGTAGTGCAATTTCCAGAAGCAAAAAGTAGAAAGGTGATTATAAGGGACTGGGAAAAGAAAGGAATGGTGAGATAGTGTTTAATGGGTATAAAGTTTTAGTTTGGAAAAATGAAAATATTCTAGAAATGGATGGTGGTAATGGTTCCACAACAATGTGAGTTTATTTAATGCCACTAAACTATATACTTAAAAATTGTTAAAATGGTAAATTTTCTTTTAAGTCAATAATTTTATTTACCAGTATTTACTTTCAGATAGACTTGTATATGTGGAACATGACATTTACATAAGGAAATTCATGATAATACTATTTAATACTTGTAAATATTTGGAAATAAATTAAATGTCTATTAGTTGTTTATGCAGGCTTTAAAGATAATGCAGCAGCTCTACATGTGTGATATGAAATACCTCCACGTTACACCGTTCAGTTAAAAAAATAAATAAAAGCACAGCTAGACATGGTGGCACATGCCTGTAATCCTAGGACTCTGGGAGAGGAAGGAGAGTTGCAGGTTCAAACCCAGCCTGGGTAACTTAGTGAGATACTGTTTTATGGGGGTTTTTTTGGTAATGGGGATCGAACTTGGGACCTTGCACTTGCAAGGCAGGCAGTGGAACCACTGAGCTAAATCTCTGGCCCGAGATACTGTTTTAAATAAAAAATTTTATTCTTGTTTTTTCTTTTTTGGTACCAGGGATCAAACTCGGGCCGTCCTTGCACTTGTGAGGCAGGCAGTGGAACCACTGAGCTACATCCCCGGGCCTTTTAAATGAAAAATTTTAAAAGGGTTAGTGATGTAGCTCAGTGCAAAGATCCTATTCAATTCCTAGTACTGTAGCTAAGTAAATAAATAAATAAAATACTCAGTAAGAACTACTCGGTGTAGTGAATTCTGAGGTAACAAAACTGTGTATTAACTAGCAGACTTGTTCTGTTTTCAATGCATCTACTTTTTTTTAATCTATTAAAAGAAATAAACAAATTAGAGCATTAAGACCTATTTGAGACAGGGTCTCACTAAGTTGCCCGGACAGGACCTGAACTCAGGACTTGCCTCAACCTTCCAAAGTACTGCAAGTGCAGGTATACACCACTGTGACTGGCCTTTTATTACATTGTAAAAGTAACAGAATAATATCTTAAATCAGATGCTTACACTGGCAACCTTCTCTTTATTACTCACCTTCCTCATCTATCCATTTCATGGTGAAAAGCTGTTCATTGTCAAAAGAACACATGTCTCGAACTTCATTGCAAAGGCCCTCAAAGGAGATGGAAGGCTCAAAATGTGTTATCATGATATCTCTGAAAAAGAAAAGGGGTTTTAAGGTGGAAAATGATTAAAACTATAATGGTTTACATCTTATTGAATGTCTGACAATTTGATGGATTTCAGCTCTTTTGTGAGTAAACTATTTCTATAAAATTAAAATATCAATATTGAATGACTTAAAAATAAAAACATGGGATTTATGACAAACTTTAACTCAATCTCCCGGCATGAAGGAAGCCTACCTTAACTGCTCTAACAGATGATAGTTTCCTTTTTGCTTTACTTATTTGGGAGGCACTCAGGCTACAGATGAACAGCTTGGTGGGTAAGCTTCTGCCTAAGTGTAAGTGAAATTTCTTTCAATTGCCAGTCCCAGATCTCTTCTCCCTCCAGTCCTAGATCTCCTCTCACTCAAAAGTTTAACCTTCATCCAAGAGATGGCTCTTCTGTTGTGCTGTCTCACTTAGCCTTGACTTCTATAGATTAATCACTTAAAAATCTGTTCTGTCAGGCATGATTTCTAGATCTCTCACCTTCATTTTTACCTCTTCCCAAAAGAACTACTGTTTGCCAAAACTGGCTTTAAAGAGCTCATATTTTAAAGTAGGTAACCCAAAAAATACACAGGAAGACATAAATATGTCTTTCTTTTGGATTAGTGTTAGATGAGCAACAATTTATATTCACCAAGAAGCTACACTTGTACCCTGGCACGTGAATTTAATTCATTCCACGATTCTGGTTGTGAACTGAATTGGTTGTGAATTGAATCAAATTTTCTCATAAAGTTCAACGTAAATAAGGTTAATCCACTCTGTCCCCTACAAACATGACTGTGAACCAATTTTGGTTGTGAACCGAATCAAATTTCCCCATAAGATCAGTGTAAATAAGGTTAATCCATTTTGAACCATATGTATTTTTTAACTACAAAAACATGAAAAAAAATACAGAACAGTACAGTATGGTGAGGGGGAACACTAACCTTGCTTGAGATAACTTCCAGCATGGAGGACAGGAAGGTAAGTGAGGATGAGGTTACTGTTTGGAGGGAGAGTCCCCCTATAAGGATATTGGAGAGATCTTGTCTCTTAGTTTCAGGGTGAATTCTGGCAAAAAAAAATCTGTCTAATGTCACTTGTTTTTTTCTATGCTGCGTAACCTTTCAGAAATTAGAGACCTCATTATTATCAATCACCAGATTCAACACTCTGTTTGTTAGTCATGTTTGGATGGTGCTTCTCAAAGAAATCCTGGTACTCATTCCATTTTTCCATAATGGATTTTATCACATTGCTAACTTCCCTGTTTTCCTCTTCCTCGGTGGAAGGCCCCTCAACAAGTGCCTTCTGCTGCTCATTCTGAAGTTCAGGAAGTTCTTCCGTCATCAGCTCCTCTTTATAGTCCTCAATAAGCTCTTCTATGTTGCATCATCAACGTTTAGACCCATACTCTTGCCCATGGACACAATCTCTTCCACTACCTGTGCATCAGACCCTTCAAAGTCACGTTTAGTGACACATTCTGGCTCTGCCAGCTGTTTCTCATTCAACCACACTAACAAAAGTTTTTCCACCTCCTGCACCACTTATGTACTCTGCTTGGTTAACATCATTACTCCTTTTGCCACATTATCTATTCAAAATAGTTGGCCGGGGATTTAGCCTAGTGGTTCCGGTGCCTGCCTCGCAAGGACCCAAGTTTGATCCCCGGTACCAAAACAAAAAAACAAACAAACAAACAAAATAGTTGAGACTGCTGACTTTGCCATCTTGTACTCCAAGGCCAGATCAGTCACACGAATAACATGCTCATGTTTTTCTACAACTTCCTTCTTTATTTCAATGGTTATTTTCTTCAAAACCTTCTTACTATTCTTGCTCTGCACTTTTATTACTTTCATTTTTGCTCTGCATATTCTGGTTACCTTCATTACCCCTCTTCATGTTCTTGTCATCTTTATTACCACTCTGCACTTTCTTTTTACCACCATGCTTGCTCTGCACTTTCTTTGAAGCCTTGCTGGACTAAATAATACTGTACAGTAGTATATGTGCTTAAAAATACACACAACAAAGCTTCACAGCAAGTGTGTGCAGATCTGTCAGAGACCATAATCTCAACTAGAGGAAGCCACCACCATGTGTCAGAGCAGGGAATATGGCTGTGTTCAAGTTTGTGCAGAGAAGATGGCCATGGTCGTGTTCATCACCCAATGTGGAGTTTGCCAAGAGAAGCAAAATTCTGTTGAACACTTCTGTTCATGAACCAAACTGTTTGCAAACTAAGGTATTAATGTATTTACTTTAAGATTTTAAAACTATAATGTTTTAAAGTAGAGGGCAGGGGTTTTCTCTAGGGAGTCATGAGAAGGCTCCCTATGTCCTAATCTGTACACAGCAGCCACAGTGATCCTTTCAAATGCAAGTCAGACAGATTGAATGACTCTTAATTTAACATTTATTCAGTGATCCCTAAGTTAGACTCTGTTCTAAGGGTTTTACAAAATTAATGTAGTTCATGCCATTTTTCTCTTTGAACTCTTCAAATGCCTCTCCTGTCATGTAGAATAAAATCCAAAGTTCCTACCAGGGTCTACAAGGCCCTATGTGAACTGGCCCTGACTACCTCTCTCACAGTTCTCCTAACATTGGACAGATAAACAAATGTTTATAGTCTACTATCTGTGAATATAAGCTTGGTAAAGGTGAAAACAGGAACATTTTTAAAAAATTATACTGCTAGTGGCCAATGCAGTGCCTAGCACAGAACAAATACACAGTAAGTATTTGTTGAAAGAAGAAAAGAGACTTCTGGGAAAACAGCGCAGTGGTAAGCAGCAATTCATCCTCTCCAAGATTCAGAATCCAGACCCTGGAAAATAATTTGGCAAAGATAAAAGAAGAGTGGGAAGTAATCCCTATGAATCAGGAAGGATCTGACAGGAAAATTAAAAGCTACAGGGCCGGGGATTTAGCTCAGTGGTTCTGCTGCCTGCCTCACAAGTGCAAGGACCCGAGTTCAATCCCCGGTACCAAAAAAAAGCTACAGAGAAACTAAAAAAAAAAAGAATACAACATGGGAAAGGGACAAGACAACCTGCATTTTCCTCTCAGCTCCCACCTCATGGATGGCAAGAAAGGAAGATTCAATCTAAGAGGAAAGGTAAAAGCTGGGAACTACAGAAGGCTTCAGGGAAAAATGCAGCAGTGGAACACAACAGTGGGTGCTGTGAGACGCAAAAGCTGGTGAGTGACTAGCCCAAGTGCCCACCATACCCTTTGGAGCGAGTGCTTGGTTAGATGCCATTCCAGGGAGGGACTGACAGAATTTAGGACTCAGAGCAGCTGCAAGATGGCTTTAATTCAGGGCTCCCAATGTTACGCTCCCACAATGACTGGGTGAAGGAAGCCACAGGAGACTTTCATGGCCAAGGAACCGCAGTCAGGCTGGCAAGTGACCCTCTAGGGTATTCAAGATAAAGATACAGAACCATCCAAACAGCCAAAGGCAGGCTCAGCCTGAATGTCTCTGGATTTCAAAGGAGCTGAATTGGCGACCTCACTGTAATCTTTCTGCCTGCTGGTGCTTGCATTCAGCATGGATCTGGGGTCTGACGGCCTTCTTTATCTACCAATATGAGTAGGGACATGTCTCACCTGGATACTTCCCCCAAACGGTAGATCCAGGAAGAAAAACCACATGTTCAATTTTAGTATATGTGCTGCCGAAGCAAGCACAAAACCACATGTTCAAAATCACAGAAAAATGTTTTTTTCTTTTTGGGGCTTGGGAAATTTTCTTTGGTCCTTCTTCCTTGCCTATCTCTTTTTCTTTTTGCTTTTTCACCTCCTTTCCCTCTCAATTTTTTTCCCTTTAATTTTTTTCTTATTTTTAGACCCTATATGATTTATTTCTTTTTGGTCTCTCTTTTAATCTTCTATTTCTTATCTGTTTTTCTCTTACCCTTACCTAATTCTATAAACAACTTTCTACACCACAATAGGATCCTTTGTACCACTTCTCTTTCCTCCTCATATTACAGTTTAAGGTTTCAATGTATTCCTTCTGCATTCCTCCATTCCCAAAGCCTGTATATTTAATAGTACAACCAGAAAGATTTGTTAATTTTTTGATAGTAACTCGGTAAAATTACTGTTGAATTCTTTTCTACCATTAGTAGAAACACAGCTATTGCATTCAGTATTAGCTGTAAGTCAATACTTCGGTTGTCTTAATGTTTACACCATAATTAGAGATTTCTTCTCCGGATTAAGGGTGGTACATAATTGGTTATACGTATGTTAAGATCCAATTTGTCTTGGACAACAATACTGTAGCTGATCTACTTGATATTAACAGTCACATAAGTGTTGCTATTTCTCTGTAAACCAATACTCAGATTACCTTTGTGACCTAACAGTACTAAAGTACATTCCCAGAGAACTTAGTTGTTAGGCTGACTACACAGCATCCTTACCTCCCAAATTAACCAAGGTGGTTGGATGGTGGGGCTGTGGCAAAGGATTTTACCTAGCCACATCCTAAGTATATCATTAAGAATGAACTAAAGAGACCTCTACATTAGCAACAAAATCTTTATACTACAAGCATCCACAAATCTCAGCACAAAACAATAGAAACATGAGAAGACAAGCCAACAAAATGCCTCTAAAACTCCCAACTCCCCTGAAGCCAATCCAGCAAGCACCAAGGGGAAGAATGGAATAAGCCATAACAAAATTATTTGAAAGGATAACAGAGTAGGTTAGAAAATAGATCACAGACATACTCAGCAGGATCACAGAAGATATAGCTAAACAGATAATGGAAATAATAACCAAAAAGACACATGAGCTTTCAGAAGACATTAACAGAAAGCTAGATGAACTAAACAAAATGATTCAAAACATGAATGACCAGTTTATCAAAGAATTCGTCTATGAAAAGGTTTCAAGCAGAAATCCAGGAGATTAAAAATCATATTGAAAGCATGGGTAGCAGAAATGACCAATGTGAAAACAGAATTTCG